GACATGAGACCAGCAGTTAGCATAATGACTATGTCACTGGGCTCCCATGTAGTCAACACCAGTTCGCATCCCAGACCTGGTGGCTTAAAATTCACGCCGGGCACATGTGCATGCGTGCCCAAGATCCCGAGAGGAGAATGGAGGAGAAGGGATTGTTGGCCAGCCCCCCTGAGGGGTGATTTCTCGCTTTCTGTCTTTCTGTCTCTCTCTGTCTGTCTGGTGAGCGCACACACCCGAAAGCAAAAAAAAACTCTCCAAAAAATAAATAAAAAAAAAATAAACTGTGACACAAATAAGAATAAATTTATTTTGCCCTGTTTCTAGGAGAGAGTATCCTCTGATTTAAAACTAAAGGCAATTGGGAACCAGCAGTTAGCATAATGGCTATGTCTCTGGACTCCCAAGTAGTCGACCGCGGTTCGCGTCCTGGACCCTGTGGCTTGAAGCTCACGCCGGGCGTGCGTGCCGGGGATCCCGAGAGGAGAATGGAGGAGAAGGGATTGCGGCGTGACCATCCCCCCTGGGGGGAGTGATTTCTCGCTTTCTGTCTCTATGTTTCTCTCTGTCTGTCTGGCTAGCGCACGCGCCCTATAGCGAAAAAAAAAAAAAAACTAAAGGCAATGAATATAAACCAAATGTATTTAACTTACATATTTTTCATATTTATAAGTCAAAATATTTATAATCCTCATTATGGCAAGTTCTGGGGACAAGACATAAGAAATAAAACAATACAGTAAGAATGCACACACAAACAGAAGTGATTAGAAATGTAACAGAAAAAGATATTTACAGGCATATTGGAAGACACACTTCATTTCATGTATCTACCCAAAGGACAGGAGAATGCTCAGTCAGAAAAGCATTTGCACAACTATATTTACTGCAGAATTATTCCAGATTGCTAAAACATGGAGCCAACCCAAATGTCCACAAACAGATGAATGGATTGAAAAGTGTGGCACTCATACTCCTTGGGATACTATTCAGTCATAAAAAACAACAAGACCCTGGCATTTGATAGAAAGTGGACAAATATGGAAGACTTTCTGCTGAGTGAAGCAAGTCAGGCTATGAAATAGAGACATTGTGTGTGTCACCTGAACATATACCTACTGTCTGCACTCTATGGTAGAGACTGAAAGACTGGAGGACATAAAAGCATTGAAAATTGTTATGGACACTAGAGACAAAGTGGAAGGAGAGTGTGGAAGGGGGAGAGCATAGGAAAGGAAATTTAGGGGAATAATAGAAAATTAAGACATTTGTGGGACAAAAATACAGTTTATTATCTGTTGATGAGGATGCGTATAGCATTCTTAACTGGGCTGGACTGAAGTGTATAGCTGGGTAAAGTCCCTTTATAATCTAAATGATGTACAGCGATTGAATGTATACATAATAATAAATAAAAATGCAAAAAAAGAAAAAAAAGGCATCCTAATATGCAGTCCCTTGACCACATAACAGTGAAGTGGTGGTATTTCCACACCTTATGAGGTTCGGACTTGTCACTACCACAGTCAGTTCTTGCACCCTTACCTTATCCAGGAAGAAATAATGCCACTGACAATATAACTGTCAGCACACAAGACCTCTGCCTTGACCAAGAGTCAGTCATCACCCTGTTCTCAGAGGGGACATACAGATCTTCTCTTTTGATATGCGGTATCTCTTTGTCCAAGACTCCTGTGGAGCCTGGTTCTCCCAGAGCCTCATGAAGTACATGAAGCCATTTTCCAAACTGCAAAAACTCTTATCTAAAATGCATCCTCCAGGAATTAGGTCAAGTCCAGACTGCCCCAGAACTCAGAGTACTTTTCTTGGTATTTGCCATTGATGGGAATGGTAAAGAAAAAAAGAAAAAGTTTAGGCGATGGAGTAGGTTTATGGTCCACTCCCTGAAAAATAAACAGTGACATGAGACCAGCAGTTAGCATAATGACTATGTCACTGGGCTCCCATGTAGTCAACACCAGTTCGCATCCCAGACCTGGTGGCTTAAAATTCACGCCGGGCACATGTGCATGCGTGCCCAAGATCCCGAGAGG